TCCTAACCCTAAAGAAAAGAGGATAGTGTGCGCAGCCTGCCTCAAAAAACCAGAAATAAAGTTCAAATTTTTGTTCAAAAGTGTGAGATAGATCTTCTTCCACATGCCAATTCAAGGCGTGTTGAAGGTCAAATCGTGTTCCTGGGTGATCATTGAAGCAATAGCAAGCATCATCAAGGCCTGAAACATCAAGAAACGAGTGCTAGCTGTAACACGGTTCATTCATATTTTTGAATTTGGTTTTCACAATTCATGCATGATCATTGAGTTATAAGTATATGTTCGTGTTTATATCGTCCCTTAGAATGTTTTTACATACTTAATTGCATGTTCTAGTGCCTGTTGAATGGGACACCATTGCTAGGATTTACAAGGTTGTTTTAGGGCTTTTCAAATGCAGGAAAAATTGGATCTCAAGATGGATACCATCATGATCAAAGAATCGAATCCAATCGATCCATGATCTTGAATCTAATTTATGTTGCCTAGACAAGATATTTGAGGATTGCAGGTTTGTAGCTATGACTGTTGTCTGTGGGTAAAAGCTCTGAACCTAAGACAACAGTCCCCTGGAGGAGACGAGTGTGTGTCACAACTTGAGTGGGTGGTTTAAACTTTGCGCGTGTTTTGGTTATAGCCACTGACCAGCTTACAATATATTGTTTTCATGTGTTTATGTTAACGAATAACTTGGCAGCGCAGTTGGCAAAGGGGGAAGTCTGTGAGGTGCACGTCCTGGGTTCGACCCCAGGCGTGTGCTTTTGCATTTTCTTGATATTTCCTACAAGTTCCAATGCGCCATATCCAATGATGTCCACCGTGAGACCTTAGATCCAACCCCAAGATCTCATCATGTCCAGATCCAACATCCAGTACGTGCAGTCATACCATGAACCATCAGAAGGAAGCTACACTAGATTGGGCGCAGAAACTGGGCTCAGCCATAATGGGCCTTGAAAATTCCAAATCACACCCCTTGTCCACCAGCATCACTCCAGACCCAATTCTTTTTTTCTTCTTTTAATTTCTTTATTTTTGCTTAATTTCTTGTTCTAATTAATAACACCAAAAAAAATCATATTTTTTTTATTTAATCAAAAAATCATAAAAAATATCAAAAATCATTTTTTTAATAAAAATATTAATTAATTAGTTTAATTAAATTAGGGTAATTTAATGTCTTTTTTATTATAATTCAAAATAATTAGAATTAGGGTTTAATTTTGTACATAACCTAGTTTTTCCTTAAAAATAACATAAATATTTTCTCAAATTAGATTTTAGGTTTTCCAATTATTCCTCGCATTTAATTTGCCGCGCGCGCTCTTAATTTTCCATTTTTTTTATTATCATTGTAACTGCTCCGAGTTTGTAATAGATTTAAATAGGATTTTAATTCCGCATTTTATTTTCAGTCAAAAATAATTATGTATCTGCCCAAAGCCTTATAATAATTAGGACTCTAACTTCTCACATTTTAATTTCTGCAAACTATAAACTGCTTAGATGTATGTATAGGATTGTATGGAAAGACGAATTGAAATTAAAACAGTAGAAAACCCTAATTGTGCAAAGATAATTAACTGAAAAAATACACTTGCACATGCTCACTCCTAGGGTTTATTCCACTCCGATTGCCTTCGGTAAACGGTCACAAAGTATAGGGAATGTTAGTGGTCGTCCTCTAGTCCCAAAATATCTAAAATGACCCTTTCGAATGTTGCATCAGAAAAAGATCTTTAAGGCTTTAGGATGATTACTAAAATTTCCTAACATTGCTTTTGTGATTGTACTTGTCCCTTCGAACGTCCCTTTAAAACTCCAATGACGGTGCTACCTATTCCTTGATAATAGGATAGCGCTGTCTAAAGGAAAACGAACAGACTTTTTTCGAGTAGGTAGATTAGTTCCTAGGTACTTGCTCAAACAAACAAAAAATTTCACACAAACAGTTTTCAAAACAACTTCGTCACACTCTTGAGGACCGATACAAGGGTTATCATGAAGTAAAACTTTTCAAAACAAACATACACAAGCAATTTTAAAAATGAGCAAAGTACCTAAGAGCTCATGGAAAACCATGGATAGAAAGGGTGATAACACCTTCCCTTTCTATAATCTATCCACCGTACTGAGAAACATTCTCGAAAAAGGTTTTTTCTGTTCTTTTTCCTTTTTCTTTGTTGGATAAAATAAAAGTCGATGGTGACTCTTGCTTACCGCAACATTTGCAAATACAAAACACAAACCAGTATAACAGTCGGTTTTTCCACCGTATCACAGAACTGACGACTCTGCTGGGGAGGTAAATAAGTGGGATATACCTTAGGATCTAGGTCATTTTTAACTTGCTTGCTTGTATTTTTGCTTTGCCTGCTTTATATTCAAGGGTTTTGTTGGATTATATAGATCCTACACCCGGATTTGGGGAACACCTTTTAGGTAAGTAGCAATAAACTGTGAGAGAACTGTGTGGGGGTATACCGACACAGTTGAAGCAGTAGCTACAATTTTCTACCAATAAAATAGACCTTTTTTAGCTTATTTTTAGTTTATTATAACTAAAAAATTTCTTATTTAATATGTACTGTATCACTTTTTTATTTTCTATTATCATTTGTTTTGAGAGTTCCCCCATTTATACTTTTAGCCCATTTCCATTAAATTCTTTTTTAATTTTTTATTTGATAATTTATTAATGTATCTTTATGTCTTTTTAGAAGTCTTTGGTAAAATTTTTGTAATATTTTTTTATTTCAGATATGCATATTCGAACTCACTAAATTACATTTTTTTTTATAAAATAGGTTCAGAGATGCATATCCGAAGTCACTAAATAATAACTTTCGGACACACATATCTGAAATAAACCTTGACTTCCAACCAGAACCAAAAACCTTAAAACAAAAGCAACTTAACATAGATTTAACATAGATAGTCGAAAATACAAAGATAGTGGAACAAAAATTTAACATTACATTATTATAAACGGATAGCTGAGGATGTTGCAACATTTTGATAACATCTTCTCCCGATCTTTGAAGCTTCGCATCCACTTTAATCAGACCCTTAGTAGTATCGATGAAAATACTCCACATAACCTTTAAACCGTCATCCGTCTTCAGTGCAAATTCGGTGAACTTTATCTTTCCTTCAGTATCAAGTGAGAGTGAACAATACTCGAGCTTGAGCACCTTTCAATTTTCTGGATATTGTAGGAGAGAATTCAGTATGGTAATCAGCTCGACGAGAGGCGTGTCATCGGAGAACCTAAATTAAAGTGACGACTTCTCACCACTGAAGTAAACAAAATCAAGTTGAGGATATGTTTGACTCATTTTTGTCTGTGGTGTGTGATGTTGAAGAAATGATTTGGACACCATATTTATAGAAGATTTGGAGCAATTTGGATTCAAAAATTCTTATCCTACCACCAGAGATTTTCGGAGATGTATATCTGAAATAACCCTTATTTTTATGAAAATAGGGGGTTTTCGGATATGCATGTCTGAAATAACCCTTGTTGTTTTTTTTATATATAAAAATGAATGTTATTTCGGATATGCATATCCAAATTATGTAGAATCAAAAAACATATTTTGTTCTAGTAGAATCAGTATCATAGAAACATGAAAAAAATTAAATCGGTAAATGTAAATAGCGGTAAAATGTTGAATAAATATGTTATATATGTATTGAATCGTATAGAATTTATATTTTGTACGACAATACATTCAAAAAAATGCATCTAACGAATTATCATTGCTTAAATCTAAAATCGGTTCTTTCTTCGACTTCTCTATATTTGATTCTCTCTCCAGCTTCATCAATTTGGTGAACTTTGTCATCCTTCCCAAAAAAAAGTGATCTGGCCAAATTTCCGTCTTTTTTGCGGAATGTGACGTCCACTCCACTGATATAGCCGGAATATGACACCTCAATTTTAAATAAACCTGAACAAAATAGAGCGTTCTAATATATCCAATACAAATGATGTGGTCGAATGGATCTCTTGAGGTGGGCGACTCCGAAGTGAAAAAAATATCTCCGAAAAACCATATCTCGACAGATCGATACACACCCTGTCATATACACTTGCTATAAGATGGCTCATTTCGAAAAAATACATCCACTTTGCAAATAGTGTGTTACCACTAACATATAGAACAAGAACATTGCGAATTTTATCAAAATCTTCCTTTTTTCCGTATAGTCTTGTGTAAGGATCATATGCGCCGTCAACTTTGAAATAATTGTTTGATGCACAAGAGTGTAATTGTCCTCTCTTTTACCAAGTAAACCAGACACGGCCCGAGACGGTTTGGAAATACAAACTCCCTTGAGATCAGTTGCTTAAACATATGACTTAAATATTTTCAAATTTTCCAATTTAATTTTAAAAAGTATTAGCAATAACTTCTTAAATTTTCTTTTAATTTGGTTATCACAAAACTTTACACGTCAAAAACAATTCTAATAATATAATTGTTAAAAAAACTATTATTTTAGTTTGTTTTAAACACAACTCTTAGAACATGAGCTACACAGGATAGTTACACGAATGATGCTACAAAACCATGACACAAGCAACATGAACTAAAATTATGCAATTTCTTATTTTGATCTAATAAAGTTATTTGATTGTGTAATCTCATTGCATATATTAAGCATCTCTAACTCTAAAGAGTTTGCACCTTAGCAAGCTTATGTTGTGCAATGTGCTTATGTGTAGTGTTCAGTTTCCACATTAGTATATACTAGTACTAGACACTTCCTCTGAATGCAAACAAGAAAACAGCCAACACTATCATTATTATTATTATTATCACTATCACTATCCCTATAACTATCACTATCACTATTTATTTCAAATGGGCAACTAAACATTAACATGAAAATGGTGGAGAAACATTTGCGCATTTTTGCTAGAAATACACCACCTTTGCTGCCTATTGCATTTCTCACAAAATACTCATTCAAAAAATTTGCCGCAGTGTTGATTAAGCTGTACAAGAATACTCTTTTAATAAGCTTCTTTGCTTTACTAGCTCGTGCATGTCATGGACAATCTTGAACACAGAATCTGGCCTTGCTAGCTTCAATGCATTTTGTGACATTGCTTGTAGTTCGTCGGCTTTTGGACCAAACCAGTCCGCAACGGTTTTCGCTATCGCCTTAGGTGATTTAGAGTACTTTCCACATCCATTTTCAACTACATAGGGTACATTGCCAGCTTCCTGAAACCCAAAGGAAAGATGTTAAGTTCACCCACCTTGTTAAAAAACTTGAACAAACCACTATTTTCCGTGATCCACAATTGACAACTCTAAATTTAGTTTCATCGATTAGCCACAATTGAGCAAGATAACTTTTTCAAAATAAAAATTAATGAAAAGGATGAGAAATCACAATTATGAGAACCACGTTACCTGCCCGGCAATGTAATCATTTAAAATAATAGGGAGGCCTCGAATCATGGCTTCTGCAATTGTCCCTGGGCCAGCCTACAAAAGCATAAAAAAATATCCATCAAGAACTGTCATAACGAGGTGAGAAATAAATAGTCACAACAGTGAAATCGAACCTTTGTAATAATGCAATCACAAGCTCCCATGCATTCCTCCATTTTGGTAACAAACCCCTTGACCTAAAACATGAGTATAAACAAAATCATTTAGGGGTCCCATATGGAAAGTCCATCAGGTAATAGAAGAATAGAACACGCATACACTAGTTTAAGTAAAATCACAACTACAGCCCTACAACAGTTATAGTGTATTATCAATACCTTTACAGGAATTTTCCACTTAATAGAACCGAGTTTGTTTGCAAGCTTCTTATTGCGACCACAGATCACAAGGATCTGACCTGTGGGAATCCCATCCTCGTTTAATAAATCTCCAAGTGCTCGAGCAGTAGCTTCAATGGGACCCATACCTTCACCTCCTCCTATTAATAATACAGCAGGAAGATCCTCATCCATCCCTAACTCTCTTCTCAGCTCTTCCTGTGCAAAAGAATTACAGAAGCTAAACAAAGTGAACATATGTAAAAGAAATCAAATGCAAAAACATGAAATAATTATGTGCACAGTTGCATGTGATAGTTAGCAGTCAACCAGTGAAAGCAGATACAAATCAAACACATACAGTTAATTGATCATGAAGGTTCGATCAAAAGGAAAAATAGTGAAACTACTGTTATATTTTGCCACCGTGAATAACCTAAAATTACAATATTTCACTACAGTTCTAGTTAAAGAATCGTAACCCATAATAAACAACAAACCAATTGATTGTTGTATTGAACCATTCAAAATTTGATTATTGAGAAAATTTGATATAATTCACTTTTCCCAACGCTAACATCGGAAGTAAATAGTAACTAAGTGCAAAATATGGTGAGTTCTACCATGGTTCACCATGATCCACCGATGTTTTAACACTAACAATAATAACAACCAAGTCTTATCTCACTAGTTGAGATTAACACTAACAACAACAATCAGTTCGGATTAATAATAGATGTAGAATTATTTTATTGAATGGTTTAGATTAAAAACAAAATTTGCAAACAGACCCCGCCCCTCATTTTCTCACTCCCCTGCCTGCCTCTTACTCACTCTGTCTCTCTCTTCTTACGCTAATGACATTGGTCCCTCATTTCTGGCAATAAGGTACAAAAGAACAAAATCAAAAGCCTATCATGACAACCTGTAGACGTAGACAGCTATGTGCCTATGAGCATGCAACAGTGGTGGAGACTGTGCAAAACCCAAACAAACTTGGTTTTTGTTTTGAACTGAAGAAATGAACAAAGAACATAGGTGTTGTTTAATAAAGTCATCTGTTTTCTAAGACTCGTAAGTATTGTTATGTGGAATTAAATTTCTTTTCATGGGACATGATAGAGAAGAAGGACCTAAAGGACAATTGAGCTATCGAGAACACCAGCCCCAACTACCCCGTCAAAAATAATGACCCAAAACATAACAAAAAGAAGATGGTTTCTGGAACACCAGCACCAAGTCCATCAAGCATAATAATAAGAGAATCTTGAGGGCATCGGTAACATGGTAGCAGGGGTTGATAACAACAAGGATAGAGCAAACAAGTTCACTGCATAGAATGGCGCTGCAGTGGCTTGGTGAGTTTGATGAAGACCAAGGGTAGTGTTTGTTGCAAGCAACTGACAGAATAAGATATAAGCCAGGGAGGCAAAAAAACTAGCTAGATTACCGGAAGCATATGAAGGGAAGAGGAAAGAGAAGCGTGTATTTGAGAGAGACGATAATTTGCAATAATTTCTGAAATATAAAAGACCCCCAAAATAATTATAAATCACAGATTGAGACATGATTTGGTGGAGATGGTCTATACAAGAATTTTCAGTAAAATCATGGCCAAGTTTGTAATCGACAATACATGTCTACCCATAGCCTATTGTGCATTGGTGGCATAAATGGCAATAATTTGCAAGTGATAATTCGAAAAAGCTAACAACTTGGATCACTAAACAACTAACTGAGAGACTTGATAATTCCTATTATCCTATCTCACTGTATAAAACAATCCAGAAAAGGTCATTTTGGAACGTTAAGTATACTACCACTGCATATTGCATTCCAACTTCAGAATTGTAAGTTAACTACTAGTCGACAATCAAGCCATAACTATAAGAAGTTAAGAACATGACATACCTTTGGCCGAACAGGCTTAACAAAGGAAGGTCTAACAGGTAGGCCATAAATCTTTATTTGGGTTTGCTGGAGTCCAGCTTTCATTGCCCTTTTTGCAACATCTGTAGTTGGACAATAACATCTAGTTACAAGCTTGTGAAACCTAAAAAACACAAGAAATAAAATGTTAAAATCAGACTATTGGTAATATTTTGGGAAAGAAAATACTAAAAAACCAGAACTAAACTAACCATGTTGGATGGCACGTGCTCAAATCTGTAATAACTGTGGTAAAAACAATCTTATCTAAAAGGCCCCTTGATCTCAAAACGCGAAGAGGAACGTGCTGCATAAGTGGATGCACACTGATTATTATATCAGGCTGATACTTCATTAACCCTTTAGCAACCTCACTGTAAAAACATATAGGATACATTTAACCACTGACATGTGGATCTAGCGTAAATAAAATTAGTTTCTAGAACTAACAAATTCTGCATCAACACCAGCAAATTTCAATAACTTCTGTCAATTATTAATTACTATTAACATAATATACTACAAACATTGTCTTAGAATTTGGTTTCAGCCTAACTGAACCCAACAAAACCGGTTTTTAAGGTGAGAGACGCTTCCTACTTGTAAAGTTAATTTAAGGACTTTTCTCATCCAATGCGGGATTCATGACACACTCCCTTCACGCTCAGGATATGGAGTGTGGCCCAGTAGCGGGAGACCCCATAGATTACTTACTAATAGATTTTGGATAGCTCTAATACAATCTTAGAATTGAGATTTGGCCTAACTCATCCCTGCGAACCCAGCTTGTAAAGTAAGGAATGAGCTGTCGATTAGGAGGAAAATTGTTTGAGAATGACATGCTATTTATATCGGTAGTGGTCAAATATCAAATCAGAACCGTGCTGAAATATTGCCAAATTATCATGCTATTTTTTATTTTATTGAAGAACCATGTATTTTAAAATTATGGTTTAAACCCAAAATCTATGTAAATTGAAAATGAACAAAAAATCCATGTATGAATATGACATTGATGTATCGGATAAATAATTTATCTTCACCACTAAAAAAATCCAGTCTATAACGACAATGAAACAATTCTAATATACTAACATTTTATATTGTTTGAATGATCTAAAGGTAACTAAAAACTTAAATAACCGGGTGAACACTAGACCAGTTAATGCCCTGACTTTCATGTATGAGTCACTTCAGAAATGTAGTAGTTATCGGCCAGTGACACAGCAGATATTAACTCATTTATTTTTATTTTCTCATTGAAGTTATTTGACAAGAAAAAAACAGTACTAACTGGTACGTGAAAAGGAAAAACCAAAATCTCACCGAGCTATGAATGCTGAAGTTGCAGCAAAATTAGACTGATGAACTAGCCGTGGGGCAGTTCCATAGTAGGTCATCTTCCACAATGGGCCATGTTTCACCAAAAAGCTATAGCTCTTGGGAAGTTGATTAAATGGCCATGGTGTGTGCTCAGACCACAAATCAGTAACAAACACCTGCATATCATAAACTCCAAGCTGTAAACAAAACCCACCCAAAAAATACACATATGTTCACTCACACACATACGCACAAGTTTATTTTCTTTCAAATTATTACTGAATTTATTCCCGTGCATAAATCTCACACACATATGCACAAGTTTATTTTCTTTCAAATTATTACTGAATTTATTCCCATGCATAAATTTAATCATCAAATCTACCAAACTAAAAAAACTATAACCAAGTTAGTCCCTTTTGGATACATGTTTTACAAATGAAATCAACTAAAATACCAAATAATAATCAGAACTAATTTTCCTACACATGGTATAATTTACTTAAGATAGCTTATTTCACATTCTACTAACTCATGCAGAGTTTACCATGCTCGCAGTAAAAGAAGTTTATATAGTACAAGTACTTCTCTAAGTGTACTTACAAGCAGCTTATTGAATAGAACTACATTTGAAAGTGTTTATTAACAGTTCAGTTTGAATTATCTTATCACTTAAGGACTTGTATAAGTACTTTTGAGAGCATGTGAAAATAAGCTATTTTTACTTTTTAGCTTATTCTATAAAACTCTCCTAGATAGCTTATATAGAAACAATTTAAGCACATTGCTCCATGTATAAACGATTATGTGATCAACTCTTAAATTAACATCACCTTAAGTAGTTTACCTAAAAAAATCCTTGCTTTTAACTAAAACTATCACAATTTATTCTTCTAATTACACCAAAAAAAATAATTAACTTAATAAACAAAAGAACCTGATATTCATCGCCATATTCTTGATAAAAAGCAGCTTTAATCGCTTCCGCCGAAGCTCGATGACCACCACCAGTATCACTCATCAAAATCAAAACTTTTTTAGGTTTCCCACGACCCTCTCCCTTCAATTCCAACCCATCATCTTCCACAACAGTCCCATTCCCAATTCCACCAACACCATTCCCATCACCCTCACCATTACCAGCACCACCATTGTTATCACCACCGTTACCGTCACCAACTTGCAACGAAGCAAACCCAAGCGGAATCCTCTCGCAATGAAACCTAACAGCTCTGTTAAACTCGTAAAGAATGTCCCGGAACCTATAACCACCGACACCACCGGCGCCACCACCAGCAACCTTTAAGCTCAACGAAACGGTGCGTTTTGGACCACGCGCTAGGTTGTTGAAGTACAAGAAATTAGAGATGAGTGATGGAGAACAAGCTTCGGAACTCAAGTTGAGAAACGACGACGTATCGAGTGTGAAACGCCCGATTTGTGAACCTAAGGGTTCTTTCGTAACACGCGTGGTTGAGTTATACATGATGATAACTCAATTTTTATTAAAATGTAAATCAAATATATATATAAATAAATTTAGTTTGTTATTTCAGTGAGAATAATGAAGTAGAAGAGATCAAGTGTTTGGGTTCATCTGAGAAAAAGAGGTTAATGTGTTTTTGTTTTTCAGTTGAAGCTACGAGGAGAATCGAAGAGAAGAATGTTCGTCGTTGTTGTTGTTGTTGTTGGGTTGGGTTTTAAGTGGATTGGGTTTTTTTGTTGTTACAATGAGTCATGACTAACTTGACTTCATTACCGGCCAGGGGTGGGTCCCACTACCGACTAGGTTCAGGTCGAGTCAACAAATGAATTCTTGCCACGTCATGCGCGTGAAAATAATGAAAATTGGAATGATTTCAAGGCTTTTTAAGTTGATTTAAGTTTTCGAGTTTGAATAGTGGTGTACTACTTCTTCAACATGGCTAAGTACGAGGTTTATTGGTGGAGTTTCTTTATTAAATAAAATAAATGTTCATATTATAGCACCCAGAAGAAGATAATTTAATTTGGTAAAGGCCATCTCCATGTGATTTGCATGTTGTGTATTTTGACTGCAAGTTATAGCGCCGAGAATTGTTGATGAAATTGCCGGCCAAAAAAGTAATTTAGATGTTCGAATTGGAAGTTGAAACGGTCCACCCAATTATGTATTTTTCACACATTGCCACTCACCACACCACAACCTAAACTCATTTTACGAAAAAGAAAGCATATAGAAGGATATTCCCAAGATGTGATGCGGATTCTTAATTTGGAGCAGTACTAGTCCATTCCATGGGTTTCTACTACCGTCCAATATATAATTGTATTACTAATTCTTCAAATATTATATATAGATGACATTAGAGATCAATTTAAAAAATTTACGCTAAATCTCATTAAAAATATTAATCAAACACTAAATAAAATAATATATATATACATATATATATATATATATATATATATATATATATATATATATATATATATATATATATATATATATATATATATATATATATATATAAGATAAAAAATTTAATATTGTCGTTACACTAAATATGAATATTTTTCTTTTTAAAAAATTTATTATTATAATTTTATATAAAATTATTTTAATATTTAATATTGTTCTGTGGTGAAACTTGAATTGATCGGAGAATGATGGACGTGGATTACAATGGTAGATTTGAGTTTTTAGTATGGTAGAAGAGGAGTTAATCTATAAGGTTAGCACTTCAACGTCCAAGTTAGTATAAGAGTTAGAGGAAGTAAATGAGATTTAATTTGAATTAGTTGTAAAATGATGTGTTTTCCTATTTATATAGTAGGACAATTATAACGACTCGCATAATTGGTGCATATTATGTGAATGATTGTGAGATTGATATGGATAGTGTGAGATGATCTACGGATTGAGGTCATTCCTCTCCCTGTTTGGTGTATGATTCAGTGTGTCGTTTTCTTTTGGGTCTTCATTATTGGGTCTTTTAGGCGATTCAAAATAGTTGTCCCTCAAGCCTTTGCTTATGTTTTGTAAGGTGAGGGTTTCGTCGTGCCCATCTCATTGTCGGTAATTGTTTAGGCTAAATGAAAGCTCTTGATGTGACATCATTTTTATTGGAAATTTATGCCTTAAATGCATTTCAAGCGTTAGGTGTATTTTCGCCGAGGAACCCTTAAGGCGTGTCCCTTCACATGCTTAGCAATGATGACCTTTGAGAGCTAGGTCACTTAAGTATCTCTAAGGGGATATGGACAATCAGTAGTGCTTTCTTTCCATTGTTTATCGTAAGATATCGTACAGTTTTTTGTGTTGGAAGTAGTTATAAAAGCCTTTTCGCTAGTTATTTTGGGCGCACGTGTGAACTCTCCAACCTACGTATATAAACATGTGTGTGTGAATTTAATATATGGATTTCATTGTTACATAATTAGGTCTTTGTGCTAGATCCCGAGTATGTTGCTCTGGGAGATAATTTTACTTTACGAGATTTAGCTCGAAGTTTATTGGTTGATAAAAGTTCGCATCCCGACCAAATTGTCCACCAATGTATTTATGTTCAATAATGGATATGAATCTTTGGACATGCCAGTTTAAGATCTGTGTAGTCCACGTACATTCTCCACTTGTCAGGGGCTTTCTTGACTAGAAAAATACTAGAAAATCATTCATTATATCTCACTTTGGAGATAAAGTTGGAGTCTAAAAGACCTTAAAATGTCTTGGTATTGGCTTAGGTTTTCTCCGCAAAGCATATCCTTCTCCATTGGGATAGGTACCGGGTATCAAGATCGACGTTCAATTGGTGGCAGGCTACGATCAAATCAATATCAGGCATCTCAAGAGGGGAAATGACAAATGGATTTGCATTAGCTCTTAGGCATTCGACCAATATTTCCCTTTCTCTGGTTGGGAGGTCGGCCTCTATCTTCACTGACAAATGGATATGCATTAGCTTAGGCTTTAGGTCAATATTTCCCTTACTATGGTTAAGAGATTGACCTGTGTCTTCACTAACAAAGGGATGTGTATTAGCTCTTAGGCATTCGACCAGTATCTCCCTTACTCTAGTTGGGAGATTGACCCATGTCTTCATTGACCGAGAAGGTTTATTGTCTAGTTAACTGACCTTAAATTCACCTTCTAGAATCGATCTTTTTAAGTGGAAGTACAACAGTGTGATCACCTCTAAGGGCAACAAGGATATTCCAATAGAATTTTAGTAATGTAATCATCTCTAAAGGCATAAAGGATTTTCAAGTTGAAGTCCAGCAATGCAATAGCCTCTAAGGGCGGTAAGGATCTTCTAATGGAAGTCCAGCTTTGTAATCACCTCTAAGGGAGGCAAGGACCTTCTAGTGAAAGTCTTGCAGTGTAATCACCTCAAAGGGTAGAAAGGATATTTCATTGAAAGTATAGTAGTGTAATCACCTCTAAGGGCGAAAATGATCTTCCAGTTGAAGTCTATAAATGTAATCACTTTTAAGGGAGGTGATGATTTTCCAGTTGAAGTCCAACAATGTAATCACTTGTAAGGAAGGCTAGGATATTTTAGTGAAAGTCTATTGTACCCTAAATTTCGCCCCTAATTTTTTCAGTCACACTTTCATATCATATTTTATCATTTGGTCACAATCATTAATAAATAGCTTCATTAATCACATTTGCATTCTATCTTTAAGTTTGCTCTTTGTTGTTGACTAACTTCTAATAAAAATAGAAAAATATTTGTCTTTGTCTTTGTATATTTGTGTTTTGTAGGTACCGAGTCAAAGCATCTGATAAATAGGGTTTTCCGGTATTATTTTCCTAAAATCTCTATTTGCAAAGAAAAATAATTAAAAAATTTTCATTTTTTTCACTATACAGTCGATTGCTCTTAGAGTGCAATTGACTGTACAGAGTGTATTTTACGCAATATTTGGAAAAAAACACGGATGCGATTGATTGCTCCCAGAGTGCAATCGATTGCATAGAGTGAAATTTTGAAAAAAAATCAGCTATTTCAAGCTTGTCAGTTTTTGCTCCAATTTTTCTTCATTTTTTGATAAATATATCATTAATTCAAATTTTGACTCCAATTTTTCTTTTTTTTGAAAGATATATCATTAATTCAAATTTTGCCTCTAATTTTTCATTTTTTTGAAAGATATATCATTATTTCAAATTTTGGCTCCAAGAATTAATTACCAAACCACTACTAATCCCAAGCCTAAACTCTATAAATGGAGCCCTCATTTCATTCAAATTTCAAGCTTTTGATAGCCAAATCCACCTTGCTAAAAAAATATCAATTCTCTCCATCTACCAAATTCACTCAAAGCTCTATTTTCAAAAAAAAAGTTAGTAAGCTTTGCATTGAAGCTTACTAATCTTTGAGCTAAACCTTCATCCAAACACTTTTTCTTTGTCAATTCTCTACATCCAAGCTTGGGCAATTGATTCTTGGGGCTGAATTGAAGCAAATTCTTGAAGTTGTTTTGATAATTCTCTAGATCTACCTTTGGTAAGTTGGATTTTTCATCTTTCACAACGTGATCTCTTGTTGATTTTTGGATTTGATTCATTGAGCATTGTTTTGTGATTCCATTGGTGCTATTTTCTCATAATTTGATGGAATTTTCGTGCTCAATTGAATCCATGATCATAAGATGTTTGATGGAAAGTTTGAACAAGAATTTGGCCTTTTAAAATATTGTCTTTCTGTTTTTAACAGGGTGCAATCGATTGCTGTAACAGCGCAATTGATTGTCACAACATAATTTCACATTTTTTGGAAAAAAAACACTGATGCAATCGATTGCATCAGCAGTGCAATCGATTGTAACAGAACAAAAATGCATTTTTTGCCTTGTTTTGGGGATGTTTTGATCCATCTATCTTTTTCTACTCACTCCTTTTGATTGTTGATTTGGATTGCAATTTTAAATGTCCAATTTCTCTTTAAATTCAATGGACTTTAGGTGTAGATGAAGTTGGATAAATGTTCATTAATTCAAATCTACCAAAGAGTGAATTATTTAATTCATTTTTTGTGCTTTGGATTAATGATATGTTTAGTACTTTAATCCATCTAGATGAGTGATTGAATTTAAAGATGAAAGAAATTTGAGGTACTGATCTAAATTAGCTTATCATTCCCATCCCTCTTCATCTTATCCCTTTCTTTTTATTTGTGCTACATGTTACGGGATGATGATCTCTATATCATTTATCCAAACATGAAGTACATAGATCTCTATTGACCAGCCTCAAAATAGGTGCGACTTCTACATAAGTCCACTTACGATTGCTTAACATAGCGCTAAATTTCGTCCCAACTTGAGAAAATGATCATTCGTGGCCCAAATCTATGTTTGCAAGCCCAAGTATGTTGATTTGAACCCTTTGATCCAATAACATTGAGATCCATTATTAGGAGGCTTTGGTTCTACCAATCCTCCAATGGATCTTCATCAATTTTGGTCAACGCAGATCACTTAAACATCATTGATCAT